TTGCTCATCCCTACCTAATGGCTTTTGGACTGAATTGCTCAGGAAGAGGATGAAGGGAACTTGTTTTATAGTTTGCAGGACTCTGAACCTGAGGAATCATCTGGACCTGATTTAGATGATGAAATTCTTGACCTGGAGCCTGAGCCTGAAGTCTTAATAGGCTCAGCCTTTGGGGGATCTGGGAGGAGATTAATGTATTCTACATGTGGGGAAAATCCAAATAAGTTGTGGCCACTGGGCAAACTACAGTCGTTTAAAAAAGAGGGCTGCAGATTCTTTACTCCTCCAGTCAAAAAGAGGAAGACACATCTACTCCCTTTGAGTTTAGACTGCCCAATAAGTTAACTAAAATACCCAAATGAGTGATGCTGAAGGCTGGGCCTTACGGGGTTTGCATCTTCTTACCTTGTCTTTAAATGCTCCTTCTTGGAACTCACCCTCCAGTTTGTGAGGCAACCCAAGCAGTCATGTGAAAGGCCTTTATGGAGAGGTCCGAGTGGAGAAGAGCCAAGGCCCCTGACCCATGACCATTCTAAGGCAGCCTCTAGCCTGCACAAACTGCCCACCGTGTGAAGGAAGCCATTTTGGAACTTCCAGCTGTGCCTGTGCCCATGTGAAGCAGAACTGCCAGTCAACCTACATGATTAGGAGAAAGAAACTGTTAGTTCGAAGACACTAAGTTTTGGGGTGGTATCTTATGCAGCAACAGATCCTTGAAATAAAGGTCTACCATGTGCCAGGCACTATTCCATGTCCTTCTGATCTACTGAGGTGAAAGAGAAATGTAAACTGACAGGTGCAGATAAGGGCGCAGAGGAAATGCCGCTAACCAGCTGAAGGCAGCCCGCAGGGAGAAGCAGGAGCTGGGTGGCTCTGGGCAGATCAGCACTGAACACGCAAACTACAAAACCCAGATTTCAGTTTTTGGCCAGTCAGCCCTGCAACTTCCTGTCCAGGTATCTCCTCTGATGCGGATTAGTTTCCACCTGACAAAGTGGAAAGGGGGAAGAGGTGGTGAAGGTTGCCTTGGGTCTGTCTCTCTGTTTCTAAGACCAGTTCCTGTTTGGACAGCTGCAGAATATTGTTCTGAATGTTTCTGACCTTCTAGACCGTCTGAAGCAAAAAAATTATGGATTGTAGGCACCTCTGGATGTGGGTGGGGGTGCTGATAAGGCTGGTGGGAACCTCACTGGCTCTGCATGGTCCCAAGGAATCGACAGCAAGTGTTTCTTTTCCTTGCTTCCTGGCCACAGAGAGGGTCCTGGGATAAGTCTGTGACCCCTAACCTCCCTCCCCTCCATCCTGTCTCCGGGCCATTATATGGATACGTGGAAGACGTATCTCCATTTCCCCCTCCTCTCAGTTTTCAGATGGGGGATTATTTAGACCCACCCTCACTCATTGGACAGGCATTTTCTTCTAGGTATAGGCTGTTGAGGTCAGCTTCACCTCGACCAATTCCCTGGTGAACAACTTTTAACTTACGTGTTTAAAATCACTTAGCGGGGGGTGTCTGGGTGGCTCAGTCATTAAGCGTCTGCCTTCGGCTCAGGTCATGATCCCAGGGTCCTGGGATCGAGCCCCACATCGGGCTCGCTGCTCAGCGGGAAGCCTGCTTCTCCCTCTCCCACTCCACCTGCTTGTGTTCCCTCTCTCACTGTCTCTCTCTGTCAAAATGAATAAATAAAATCTTAAAAAAAAATAACTTAGCAGGATGGGGTGCCTGGGTGGCTCAGTCCATTGAGCATACAACTCTTGACTTTGGCTCATGTCAGGCTCCGTGCTGGGCATGGAGCCTGCTTAAGATTATCCCTCTCTCGGGAGACAAACCATAAGAGACTTCTTAAGCATAGGAAAGAAAAAGGCTTGCTGGAGGGGAGGTGGGGGGGGATGGGGTGACTGGGTGGTGGGCATGAAGGAGGGCACGTGATGGAATGAGCACGGGTGTTGTATGCAACTGATGAATCACTGAACTCTAAAACTAATAATACACTATATTGTTAATTAATTGAACTTAAAATTAAAAAAAAGGAAACCCCCCCAAAAATTATCCCTCTCTCTCTCTGCTCCACACCTCCTGCCAAGCACTCTCTAAAATTAAAAAAATAAATAATAAATTTAAAATAACTTAGCGTTGTGCCTGGGTAGCTCAGTCGGTTAAGCATCCAACTCTTGATTTGGCTCAGGCCATGATCTCTGGGTCGTGAGATCAAGCCCTGTGTCATGCTCTGTGCTGGGTGTGGAGCCTACTTAAGGTTCTCTCTCTCCCTCTCCCTCTGCCCTCCTTTCCCTGTGTGTGCGCGCTTTCTCTCTGTCTTAAAATAAAATAAGATAAAATAACTTAGCAATAGTTCTTCCCTTCTCCCCTTCCTACATAATCAAGATGATCGTAAGCATTCATTTAACAGGAATTTTAACAAATATTTACTCAGTGTCCACTATGTACTAGTTCAGTTCCAGGAGCTGAGGATATAGTAGTGAAGAGAGAAAGTTCCTGCACTCATGGAGCTGATCTTCTAGTGAGGGAGACAGACAACAATAAATATAGTGTTGGGTAGTGATACATGCTCCGAAAAAAATCAAGCAGGTTAAGTAGATTTGGGTGGGGGACTATTCTGTATAGGACAGTCTGAGAAGACCTCTCTCTTAAGGTGACATTTGAGAGATCTGAATTAAATATGGGTGATGAGTATTTCAGACTAAGTGAATAGCAAGTACAAAGGCTCTGAGGCAGGAAGAAATAAGCAAATTCCAGAGAATAGCAATTAGGTCAGTGTGGCTAAAGCAGGTAGAACATGGTAGAGATTGACAGATGTGGGTGGGGAAGAGAGATAGGAACCAATTAGATAGGGCTCCTACACATTTGGATTTTGTTTTGAATAAAATGGCACGATCTGATTTACGCTTACAAAGATCTTCCTAGATGCCGTTTGGAGAACAGACTGGGGAGGGGACAGGGAGGAGGTGAAAGCAGCGTGACCAATTAGGAAGTTACCATTATAACCCAGGCCAAGATGGTGGTAGCTTGGTCCAAGACAGTTATAGCAGAATTAGTAAGTGGTTAATTCTGATGATTTAAATGTAGCACTGACAAGGCTTGCTGAGGGACTGGAAATGGCATTTTAGCATAAGAGAGGCACATCAAGGACACCTTTTAGGCTTTGGCTTGAGGAACTGGCTGAACAGTGGTGCCATTCTCTGAGGTAGGTTAAGAATGACAGCGGGGTATAGTATAAGGAGTAGGTTGTCAGGGGGCAGGATGTACTGAGTTTGAGATGCCGGTAAGATAGGCACTTGAAAGTAAGTCTGAAGATCTAGGCTAGAGATAGAAATTCTTCAGTCATCAGCAAACAGATTATTATAAATTACTTCTAGGGAGCGTGTAGACAGAAAAGAACATCATGTGCTATGTTCTGAGGCCTTGGACAACTGCAGAAGGCAGAAATTTTGTATCATTTATATACAAATATTATAAATCACTCATAGGAAGTCCGAACGGACAGAAAAGAGCATCATGGACTATGGCCTGGGGCCTTCAACAACTGGAGAAGAGGAGGAGAAGCCCACAAGGGAGACAGAGGAGTGACTAGTGAAGTGAGGAAGATCAGGAAAGCCTGGTGTCCAGGGCCAAGTGAGGAAAGTATTCTATATGATCACAGCCGAGAGTCAACTCCTGAGCCTCAGTTTTCTCATCTGCGAAATGGAGATAGTAACAAGAACCTACATGAAAGTGTTGTTAGGATTGAGACGATGCATATAAAGCAGTTAGGCTTGTGCTTGACTGGCATATAGTAAACTCCCAAGCTATGCTAGTTATCGCTATCATTCCCTCCACTTCAGTTGTCTGCCAGAGCCCTCAGCTTCTCCATCCACATAAATAACAGCACTTCCGTGAGTCCTTCTCAGGGGTGAGGTGTCCCTGCTCACTAGGCAGCAGGTGTGCCTGAAGAGTGGCCTCTGGGTCAAATTTGAACAGAGCAACTTCAGTGCCTAAGCCTCCCACCCAGACATGCAAATCAACCAGGGGCAAATATGTGGTAAATAAACGTTTTGGAGCCAGAATTCTACCTCTCTCTCACTAGCTGTGGGATCTTAGGTAAGCTTCCTAACCTTCCTGAGCCTTGAACTCTTTTATCTGTGAGATAGGGACAATTCCTACTTCCTGGGATTGTGTCTGAGCTCACGTAAACTGTAAACAAAGCTGGCTGCTCTCCTGCAGGCCAACAAGGGAGTTACAGAGGCTCCTTGCCACCCTCTCACTCAAAGCACGTATCCTCGAGGGGCGGGATGCACTAGAAGAGGCACCCACACATCCAAAACCGAGCTGGGTGGGCCTCGGAGATGCCCTAGGCTGGGCTGCCGTAGGCTGAGCCAGACAAGCGGAGACTCGTGCCCTTTCCCGCGTCGAGAGGGTGAGTGGCGCCTCCTTGCTGGGCCCCCGCATTGGTAGAGGAGTCTAGCCCCGCCAAGGTAGGGGTATCGAAGGTCCCAGGGAATCCCTCCGCGGCTGTCCCGCCTCCTTCCCGGTGTTGAAGCCCGTTTCCTGGACAACCTTTCCCCATCCCTCTTCCGGACCCAATCAGGCCTACCGAGGCGCCCTAGAGGGAGCGCCGTCGCGGCCCCCAACCCCTCAAGTCAACGACCAGCCGGCTCTCTGCGCCGCCGCGCTGTAGGCCCAGGCCCATACCCCAGCCCTTCAGCACCGCAGGAAGTGGCGGCGCCTCTCGAGGGCAGCCAGGAGGAGGCGGAGGAAGCGGAGGAGGCGCGGGTCACACCGCAGGGCTCGGGAGGAGGGCGGTGTGGGAACCCGAGCGCGCGGCGCGGTGCCCCAGGGCTGCCAGCCGCCCTCGGGACGGCTCCGCCCCCTTCAGCCCCCTCCCGAGTCCCCGCCCGCGCGTCGCGGCTCCGCCCCAGAGGCCCCGCCCTCCCGCTTGAGTCCCGAAAACCCCGCTCCAACCGGCGGCCCCGCCCCCGTCCCCGCCCGCGCCTCGGGCGCACTTCTGGTCGCTGGGCGGCCGCGCTGGCCTGAGTCTCCGAGTTCCGCCGCCTGCCAGCCGGGGCAGCGCTCCCTCTTCGCTTCCCCTGCGGCCCCTCCCCCAAGCGCCGCGGTCGGGCAGCGCCTGGCCGGCGGCCCGCGGGCGGGCCGCCCCTCCCCGCTATAGCCCACCCGCCTCTTAAAGCGGCGGCGGGAAGATGAGGTTTCGGGAGCCGCTGCTGGGCGGCAGCGCCGCGATGCCGGGCGCGTCCCTGCAGCGGGCCTGCCGCCTGCTCGTGGCCGTCTGCGCGCTGCATCTTGGCGTCACCTTCGTCTACTACCTGGCGGGCCGCGACTTGAGCCGCCTGCCTCAGCTGGTCGGAGTCCCAACACCGCTTCAGGGCGGCTCGAACGGCGCCGCTGCGATCGAGCAGCCCTCCGGGGAGCTCCGTCCCCGAGGGGCCCCGCCGCTGCCGCCTTTGGACGCTTCCTCCGAGCTGCGCTCAGGTCGCGAGTCCAGCCCAGAGGCAGACTCTCACCCCGGCCCCGGCTCCGCGAGCAACTTGACTTCGGCCCCGGTGCCCTCCACCACAGCGCTGTCGCTCCTCGCATGCCCTGAGGAGTCCCCACTGCTCGGTAAGGACTCGGGGACTTTCCCGAATTTCCTCGGCGGGGTCGGTCCCCTGGACGTTCGCCCGTGCCCTCTTCCAGGATATCCAACCTCCCAGTTCCGGATCACCGTCCCTAATCCCAAACAGGTTCCGGGCTGGATGGCGTGAGAAGGTGGGAGGCGAGTCCTTTTGGATTCACGTTGAAGACTGGGGTGGGTGTGGTACAAGGAAGCCGCGGGCCCCTCTGGCCCCAGGGCCCCAGAACCGGAGAAGGACTTGGAGACTTCCCTGCTCTGGCTCACGCCTCAAGAAGTTTTGGAGTTTGAGTTTGCTTAGGGCTTGGAGCTGCCTTCGCCCCGCTCACTCTGGTAGGGCCAAGAGGCAGCTCAGAGTAACCCACTCCAGTCTGGGAAACTGATGATGAGGTCTCCAGTGGGGAAGGAAATTGACCTCCCAGTTCACATCCAGTTCACGTATCTTGTCTTTCCCTAGAACCACTCTCTCCTGAGCGGGTTAACTTTTCGTGAGCTTTTGGGCGAGTGACTTGTTAACTTCTGGTTTTTCATCAGTTAAATGGGGAAGATAAACGGTACCTAAGTCAGGGTTGTTTTGGAAGATTAGGTGAAACGATGTAAAGAAGTATTTACGTTAATGAAGGTAAGCCCTTAATAAATTGTTACTATTGTGTCAAGTTCCTCTTCTGTGTAGATCCCTGCCCTGGGGCCTTCCTACCCGGCTTCCTGTCCCTGTAGGTTCCCCGAAACCTATGTGAGCAGAGCCCTCCCAAGGACTGAGGGTGTTTGTGGGAGTACAATGTGTGTACCATAGCGGCTGGAGGGCTAAACTGTAACCAGTCCACACCCCGTTGTTCCTTCCAGGTAGAAGCTTGGAGTCTCAGGTGTCTTGCCCAGGTGATCGGAAGGGTGGCCACCAGCCTGCTGGGAGCTTGAGAGGGTGGGTTTGCGTTCCTCCTGTCCCGAGGAGACTGAGCGGTTCCCTGCCGGCAGAATGTTTCCTTGACCTGTGATCCACAGGCAGTCAGGCCTAGGGCGGCCACAGGTTGTTCCCAAGATTATCATACCGGTGGCTGCTCATTTTTTAATGCCAGAGTTTAGAGATTGTTATTCTAAGTGAGGGGCCCTGGCAGGAGGGCAGGCATCCTGCCAGTAGGAACTCTGTCACTCTCCCTCAAAGCCCTGGCAGAGCAGGCCTTCTACATGCTCTTGCTCAATTTCTCCAGTAATTACTTCAGTATTTGCATATCAAGTTTAGGAGGAAGCTCTTGGAATTGGTCAGACATGAATTGTGGAAATAAGGGGACTTTTTTTTTAAAGCAGAAAATTGAATCCCTGTGGACTTGGTGGTTAGTCTGAGAAGCAGACTAGTCTTATAAAATAAAGTTGAATATTTGCCCTGCTGTTAAGTGTCTGGCCTCAAGCATCTTACAGAGTTTCTCACAGTCTGTGTCTTGTATGTAAAATGAGGGTGTTGGTGCTTAACTCAGGGTTATTTTTAGGGCTGAGATTGCGTACATTAAGTACATGGCAAATAGGACTTGGGACTTGAGTTCCATTTTCTCAGACTCCTGTGGAGATGGCTCTGAACAGCAGAGAGAAAGGGGGAAGAGAGAGGTAAGGCCCCAGAACCCAGAGAGGCCAGTTTTCGTCTTTCTGTTTTTAATTGTTGCCTAGACGTTTATGCAGAAAAAAAGAGAAATTAGCAAATTAAAGTGCCCCAAAGTTCATTAGATTGGTATTTGAGGTATAAGGTCTTCTCAATGAAGTGAGAGGGCCCATGGTGCTTTGTTTTTGTTTTGTGACGGTGTGGTGACCGGTTACTGTTATTTCTGAGTTGAATTTTGAATTGGCAGCGTGAAGGCACTTTCTGAGAGATAACATTTGGAGGGCGAGGAGAGGCCCTGGGTCTTCTCTAGCTTGGCCGCCTTAATGTGACGCGCATGGAACCATGATGTTTGGGCTGCTGCTGTGGAGGTCCCACAAAGTGAAGGTGGCGGGTTTTTCTTCATTTTAATTGAGCCCTTAGGTTTGAGTGGTTGGGTCAGCTCTCTGAATGGGGGCTCCTGGCTGAGAGGGGGTCTCGAGGAGGCTGAAAGTCTCTCTAGGAGTGTGTGGGCTGGGGGGAGTTGAGCCCATCTGTTCATCTGAGCAGGTGTCAACCAAAGCCCTTGCAGGGTGGTTTTGAGGTTGATGGGAGAAAGCATCCGTGGGGTTTAGAACTGCGGCCTTTTCACTACTTGCAGTTCCTGTCCCTGACTTGGCTCTACTTTCTGGTGTCCAGGGGTCTGGGCCAGACACTATGATAAGCTCCTTTTCGGTATGTGGAGGGCAATAGGCATGCCCTTCCCTGGAGGAGCCAGGCACCAGACCAGGCTGTTGATGGTGTCTGTTTGATCTCTCATGGATTGTCAGAGCCTTGGATAGACTTCAGACAGACTTGGGCTTGGATCCTGCCTCTGTCTAGTCTTTGTGACATAAGGCAGGTTGTGGTGTGTTGAGCCATTGTAGGCCCTGCCTCAGGATCCCCCGTGGGCTAGTGGGAGGCCTTCAGGAGTAGGGACTGCAGGGGGGGAGGTGGGCCTTTCCTGAGTATTCCTCCAAGTTCCCCAGGGAGTTCTCCCAGAAAGTTCAGGCCTGCAGGCACTGTCCTCTGGGCCCTCAGGCTGTGCAGCATCTAGTCCATATCACAAGGCTCCCTTTCCTGGCTGCCTGGGTGTTCCACCTGGGAGGAGCAGCGGTCTTGCATTTTCTTTTCCTGGAATGTTCGTCTCTGCTCAGATTTGGTGGCAACTCAACGTGACTTGACTGGTGCTGGCCTTGGCACTGCCAGCCCAGAGAGGGGCTAGGTGGAAGGTGGGCAGGACCTCAGGTTGGGCTGGTTAGGGGAGGCAGGACTGACCTGCGGGCTCAACTGGGGCCTGGTACAGCTGGTACAGTCCCCTCAAGGGTGTATGGGGTGTGGGGGGGTGAGTATAGGACTGCTTAAACCCAGAGGCTTCCTTTGCCCGTCTATGCTTTGAAGAGATCCTCTTCATTTGTTCAAATGAGGACTCCAATCTAGAGGTGGGCACCAGAGAGCCATGGGCACCTGGACCAGCAAACAGCCACCATAGGTAGCCAGGGTCCTGGGAGAGCACTTGTCTATGAGTCAACTTCCCCAGCTTTTGTGGGGGCTGTCAACCAAGCTTCTGTAGTGGTTTGTGCCCTTGGGAAGACAAAGCACTTTCTGGGTCCCTGCTGGCTCTCAGCTCTCAGGTGTTTTTCCACCAGCATGCTATCCCCCTCTCCCCGCTTCTCACATACTCACACATGTGGACACAAGCAGACTGCCCAGGACAAAATGTACTTTGAGGACATCTGTCCCAGCCCTCAGCTTGGGGAAGGGCTCTCTCTCCCCTTTGACTCTTGGAGCCTCATCACTTTCTGGCCTGGGGTAGAGCCTCATCCCCAGAGTTGGGGAAGGCACGGGGAGCTTCCCCTTGGCCAGGTCTTTAACTTTGGGAGATTATGTAGCTAGTACTTTAAGCTAGTTTGTCCTGTTGTTTTTCCTCGGGAAAATAGTTTATTGGCAAATACAAAGATACACCTTCTTGTCTAACAGTCTGAGATTGAGAAATACCCTCTATGACTATTGGGCTTGCTTCCTTCCACTCAGCCTGATGGTGGCAGGAGTGATTCCTACCTGTTGCAATCTGTCCCAGACTCTGAGCAAGCATGGACCAGGTGGACACTCCCTGGGGCATGGGGAACAGAGAGTCATATGTGGGATTGGATTCAAACTGCAGCATCTTGGACCCATAGCATCCCAGGATGGGACTGCCTAGTTCCCTGGCCCCATCCCTCATTGTGCCGGGGCTGGAACTCGGGTATCCTGCTTCCCAGCCCAGTGCTCTTCCTTGAGGTTATTGCCCAGTAGACACCTAGTGCAGAGGCTCAGAGCAGGCTAATATGACTTAGAATTTGAGAGGATCCTTGCTAGGTATGTCTGTGTGTCCACCTGAAAGCTGGCCTGGACATCCTTGATGGCTAAGACATCTGGTAACTTCATTCATTTAGTTCCCACAATGCACCTGTCCTGTGCTGGGTACTAGAGCTGCAAGGAGGAAGATGACACAATGCCTCTTCTTTAAGAACTCACAGTCCAGGCAGAGGAGGCATAATTAAACTGTGCTGATGTCATTTAGGGAAAACTAAAATGTGTGTGTGTTTAGTCTCTCCCTCTCCTATCCATCCCACCTTTTCTTCCTTTCTTCCTTCTTTCTTTCTCTTATTCAGAAACCCAGAATTGATATCAAAGTTCTTCAGTCCTGGTTTTGGTTGTTCCTGTAATTTTTGAAGCCTCAAATTACCTCTGCTGAGTAATCTGTACCTTGCTGCTTTATAATGACTGTTCTGAGACATCAGCAGCCATATGGTCTTTGGGTAGCAGCAGGGTAGGGATTTCCAGGCTGGGACTAGACTAATTTATGGGTTGGGAATGACAGGACAGTTAATGCTCAGGCAGTCCCTGCCTTTCTGTGGATTTCACCCAGGGAATCTTCTGGGCTTTGGGGGCAGGTCTGGGAGGCTCATCCTCTTTGCGGTTAGCTGGGCTCTGGGTGTGTATGAAAGTGGCGGAGTCTCCCTCTCTTGCTGTCTCTCTGTCAAATAAATAAATAAAATCTTAAAAAAAAAAAAAAAAAGAAAGTGGCCCAGTCGTCCTGTGGCCAAGTCAAACCTAGTGATTTCTTCCTTGCTTGCATACCCAGTGCCTTCAATGCCATCTTCACTGTTCAGTGTTCCCTGCCTGCTCCTGACAAGAAGCAGAGACTAGAATTCTGCTTGTAATCATATCCATCTGGAAATTCCAGTTATTCTTATCTGGTTAAGTGGCAATCCATTTGTTTTAAGACAAATGGATTGCCCTTGCAGCTTAAATCCCGTGGATCCTGACACTGTGGCCATTTTACACTTGGCTCTGGCAATGCCCAGGGTGGTCCGGGCAATGAGGTCACTGTAAAGGCCGGTG